TCAACAAGATTGAATTATAAATGTTGAATTAGATTTTCGGTCTTAAATATAGAAATTAACATTTAATAAGTTGAATTTTTAATTTTAAATTAAATTTCAATTAAATAAAATGACATTATTTAAAATTGAAACTCTATTTTTTAATTAGATTTTAATTCATTTAATTAAAATCTAATTCAAAATTTAAAAATCTATCTTATTAAATATTGATATCTAAATTTAAAAACTAATTATATATTTTAATATAATTGGTTTCTAAATCTATGTATTAATATTTAACAAGATGGAATTCTAAATTTTGAATTTAAAATATAGGAATTAACATGTAATAATTAACATTTAATAAGTTGAATTTTTAAATTTTAAATTAAATTTTAATTAAATAAAATGATATTATTTAAGATTGAAACTCTTTTTTTTTTTAACCAATATATACTTATGTATACTAACATATATATTTATATTTATATTTTGATCATGTAGGTCAATTTTTAAATTTTTCTAATTGTCCTACCTATTTTAGTAATTATAAAAAATTTAATATTGTTAAATATATGTTAGTAAATAAAATTTTTTTAATTAAAAAGTTATAAGTGCTAAATTATAAAATCATGACACAGCTCCTTTTAGATACATCACTTAGAAATATCTTAATTATTTATCTTTTTATTATAAATGTTTAAGAATTGTCATGACTTTTAAATTAAAAAATAATTATCTTTAAAAATAAAATAAAAATAAATAAACTTTAATTATTCATAGAGAGTAAAAAAATGATTGAAATTTTGTGCAATTAATTATTTGTAAAAATTATATTGAAGTTGATCATAACTTGTATATATTTGAGAGAAATGTTTATCATATATAGAGAGAGAGGATCCTAGTCACTCAGGTAGGATAGAAATATAACAAAATAAACATAAAAGTGGGAAACAGATAAAAAAAATTAAATAAATAAAGAGAGAAGATATCTAAAAATAAAGTTAAAATGAGAATAGATCATAGCAACTAGTGCAGGAATTGCCTAGTTGGGATTGTATGTAAGAGTTGAATGTAAAAAAAATGTGTAAAAGAATCTATCATATATATATATATATATAATACATATAAGTTTTGATTTCATAGGTTTCACTTTAAAAATATCATCTTCTAATGAATATCTAGAAAAACCAACTACTTAATCAAATGCTCTATTTTATGTGGATTATACATGTTAACTTTTAAGCTAATATAATATCATAATTATATAATAAAGTAAGTTTTTTTAACATATATTTAACAATATTAAATTTTATATAACTAATAAAACTAGTTAGATACAATCAAATTAAAAATTGAAATGCAAGATCTACATATATGAATAAAACATTAAATCCAATGATTAATTTTTTTAAATATTTTATAAAAAATTGTGTTTTTGAATTGGAAGTTCATAGTGTTAAGATTGACATGCACAACTATATATAGGGAAAAGTATTTTATAAATTGTTTTTTTATAAAAAAAAATTGTTAGAATTTATTTAAAAACTCACTATCTAATTAATATTTTGAAAACTAATCATTGAATTAAAAATTCTAGTTTTACAAATCATACATATTAATTTTTAGATTGATTTAGTTTATCTAACTACTTTATTAATTATACAAAATATAATACCATTAAATATATATTAATAAATAAAACCTCTTATATCAAAAGATTATAAAGATTATAAAGATTAAATAAATATAAAAAATAATTTATATAATTTATATGAATAAAACTTTTAATTGAATTATTAATTTTTAAAAATATTA